ACAGCACATGGACCTCTCAGTTTATGATCTGTATTCTTTGCTCCTAACCCTGTCTTCTCCTTATCCTGTAGGGAAGAGATTATCCTAAATATTGAACCTTGGCCGTGGGTTGAGGTACAGGAAGATGCTTAAGAAAAGAAAAGGTATTCATAAAGTCACGCAGCTAGAAACCCAAGAGATCAGGTTGTGGGTGCTCCTAAATTCTCAGAAGTCACCAACATATATAAGATTCCTACATCTCCTGTTTTTGCACTAAGACTATTGGTTATGTATTCTATTTCACATGTTTTATCCCTTTCTTTTAAAATTATTCAAAGTCATGTGACTTGCTTTGGCATGAGAAAAGCAGTCTGAATCTGAAGTGATGTAATTTTTACCAGACAGAAGCCGTTATGAGCCAGTATGTAATAACTACATTTCCTTTACCTCCTGTGGTCATTGAAAACATTGGAATTGAGGTGGGCCTTCTTTTAACCTGACTCTAGAGGATTATGTGAAGCTCAAGACTTCCAAATCCCTCTGTGCTACACATGTAGCATAAGCAAGTAATGCACTTTCGCTTGGTTTAGCAGTTTAGACTTGAAGTTTGCTTGTTACTGCAGCATAACTCAGACTAAACTGACCGATACAGTCAAACCTTGATTAATGAGAAGACAGAAGGGACACTGTAGAACAGGGGGAGGGTGACCGCAGGTTCCAGAATATCCTAAAGTAAGTACCCAATGGCCAAGGAAAGCCAAGGAATAAGGAAACAATTTGTCTACTTTCTTAATAAGGATACTCATCAAGCCACATTCATGCATTTATCTCAAGAGGAGCTGTCTGGTGTTTTGGGTTGCCAGAGCAACCTCAAGACAATTCTCTGAGAAATGAATTGCCATACATCCACGGGTAAGTTAATGGGAGCAATAGGACTCAGGCACCAGTTGCCAAATAGAAATATCTTGATTTTTCTGACATGAAGCAGGCAGCCAGAGTAACCTATACATTTGCATTCATTATTGTTCGAGTGATACACATTTCATACTGTTGACATTGCTGGGTCTTGTCAATGTGTAAAGCACACTGCTCTATGAACTAACTCTCCTCCCTCAAAGATTTAATTAAGTAAATCGCTTACCATAGCCTTCTTTATATCTGTTTGATTAGTGTGCAGTGAAAAATTGATTGTTGTCAAATCTCATGGTGATTTATTTTTCTCCAGGGTCTACAGAGTGTACTGTTTCCCTGCAGTTGGTGTTTTTCTTTTTTGGTGGCATAGCGGTGGCTATTTTATGGAAGTGAAAACAAAAAATTTATAATATGTGGATATTACAGTGATTTCCTTCTTGCTGAATATCAGAATATCATTGTCTTACCTGTCAACAACAGTGTACCCCTGGATATTTTATGCCAAAAATTATTTTTGTTTTTTCTTTATTCCAGAGACACTATCATATGGTGAGTAAGCCCACGAACTCTGGAGCTCAACTTCTGGCATGACTACCTACAGGCTGTATGGCACTGGGCATGGTACTTAACCTTTCTATGTCTCAGTTTCATCAGTTATGAAATTAGGAATAGTGATAGTTTCATTTGATAAGGTTATTGTGAGGATTATATGTGAACAAATAAAATGCTTAGTTCAATACTTGGAATAAACACTTCATGACATTCACTTTTATTCTTTAATATTTAATTTTTTGTTCCCATGGGAAAATCTGTTAATGATATGTGTTGTGTCTCTACTTAAGATAGAGTAGAAAAGGAAAAATGTTACTTTGGGAGCATTAGTATCTGACTCTCATGGTGTTTGGAAAAAGAAAATAAAGTATGCATACTCTGAGGATCTAGGAACACATCTATTTACATTGTTACACACATTTGATGTTAAAAATATAATAAATATGACTTGGGGTTAATAGGATTAGATTGCCTTTGGAGGGTCGTGATTCAGAGTAATGATGATATTGCCAGCAGAGCTATAGATCTCCTCAAAGAGATATACACAAACCTTGGTCCAAGACTACAAGTCAATCAGGTGGTGATCCATGAAGACTTCATTCAGTCTTGTTTTGATCGTCTGAAAGCCTCCTATGACACATTGTGTGTTTTGGATGGTGACAAAGACAGTGTTAATTGTGCAAGACAGGAAGCTGTTCGAATGGTTCGAGTATTAACTGTTCTAAGGGAATATATAAATTACATGACAGTGATTATCATGAGGAAAGAACAATTCTCCCCATGTCAAGAGCATTCTGCGGTAAACACCTCTCTTTTGTAGTTCAATTTCCAAACCAGGGCAGACAGGTTGATGACTTGGAGGTATGGTCTCATACAAATGATACAATTGGTTCAGTACGACGATGTATTCTCAATCGTATTAAAGCCAACGTAGCCCATACAAAAATTGAGCTCTTTGTGGGCGGTGAGCTGATAGATCCTGCAGATGACAGAAAGTTGATTGGACAATTAAACTAAAAAGATAAATCGCTTATTACAGCCAAACTTACACAAATAAGTTCCAATATGCCTTCAAGCCCTATAGCTCTTCTGATTCCTCCACTGGATCTCCTGGAAACCATGGTAATCATTACAGTGATGGTCCCAATCCAGAAGTGGAAAGCTGTTTGCCTGGAGTGATAATGTCACTGCATCCCAGATACATCTCTTTTCTTTGGCAAGTTGCAGACTTAGGTAGCATCCTAAATACGCCACCCCTTAGAGATGGAGCAAGAGTACTCATGAAACTTATGCCGCCAGATAGCATAACGATAGAAAAATTAAGAGCTATTTGTTTAGACCATGCCAAACTTGGAGAAAGCAGCCTTAGTCCATCTCCTGACTCACTTTTCTTTGGTCCTTCAGCCTCACAAGTGCTATATCTAACAGAGATAGTCTATGCCTTGTTAATGCCTGCTGGTGCACCTCTGACTGATGATTCCTCTGATTTTCAGTTTCACTTCTTGAAAAGTGGTGGCCTACCCCTTGTACAGAGTATGCTAACCAGAAATAACTTCCTACCAAATGCAGATATGGAAACTCGAAGGGGTGTCTACCTCAATGCTCTTAAAATAGCCAAGCTTTTGCTAACTGACATTGGCTATGGTCACGTTCGAGCTGTGGCAGAAGCTTGTCAACCAGGTGTAGAAAGTGTGAATCCCATGACACTGGTCAACCAGGTTACCCATGATCAAGCAGTGGTGCTGCAAAGCGCCCTTCAGAGCATTCCTAATTCATCATCCGAGTGCATGCTTAGATCGGATGAGGCTTCAAGATATATGCCTGATATTTGTGTAATTAGAGCTATACAAAAAATTATCTGGGCATCAGGATGTGGATCATTACAGCTAGTATCTAGCCCAAATGAAGAAATCACTAAAATTTATGAGAAGACCAATGCAGGCAATGCCAGACTTGGAAGACGAACAGGTATGCTGTGAAGCATTGGAAGTGATGACCTTATGTTTTGCCTTGATTCCAACAGCCTTAGATGCTCTTAGTAAAGAAAAGGCTTGGCAGACATTCGTCATTGACCTACTATTGCACTGTCACAGCAAAACTGTTCGTCAGGTGGCACAGGAGCAGTTCTTTTTAATGTGCATCAGATGTTGCATGGGACACCGGCCTCTACTTTTCTTCATTACTCTACTCTTTACTGTTTTGGGGAGCACAGCAAGAGAGAGAGCTAAACATTCAGGCGACTACTTTACTCTTTTAAGACACCTTCTTAATTATGCTTACAATAGTAATATTAATGTACCCAATGCTAAAGTTCTTCTCAATAACGAAATTGATTGGCTAAAAAGAATTAGGGATGATGTTAAAAGAACAGGAGAGACGGGTATTGAAGAAACGATCTTAGAGGGCCACCTTGGAGTGACAAAGGAGTTACTGGCCTTTCAAACTTCTGAGAAAAAGTTTCATATTGGTTGTGAAAAGGGAGGTGCTAATCTTATTAAAGAATTAATTGATGATTTCATATTTCCTGCATCCAATGTTTACCTACAGTATATGAGAAATGGAGAGCTCCCAGCCGAACAGGCTATTCCAGTCTGTGGTTCACCACCTACAATTAATGCTGGTTTTGAATTACTTGTAGCATTAGCTGTTGGCTGTGTGAGGAATCTCAAACAAATAGTAGATTCTTTGACTGAAATGTATTACATTGGCACAGCAATAACTACTTGTGAAGCACTTACTGAGTGGAAATATCTGCCACCTGTTGGACCCCGCCCACCCAAAGGATTTGTGGGGCTGAAAAATGCTGGTGCTACTTGTTACATGAATTCTGTGATTCAGCAACTCTACATGATTCCTTCCATTAAGAACAGTATTCTTGCAATTGAAGGCACAGGCAGTGATGTAGATGATGATATGTCTGGGGATGAGAAGCAGGACAATGAGAGCAACGTCAATCCCAGGGATGATATATTTGGATATCCTCAACAATTTGAAGATAAACCAGCATTAAGTAAAACTGAAGATAGAAAAGGGTACAACATTGGTGTCCTAAGACACCTTCAGGTCATCTTTGGTCATTTAGCTGCTTCTCGACTGCAGTATTACATGCCCAGAGGATTTTGGAAACAGTTCAGGCTTTGGGGTGAACCTGTTAATCTGCATGAACAACACGATGCTTTAGAATTTTTCAATTCGTTGGTGGATAGTTTAGATGAAGCTTTAAAAGCTTTAGGACATCCAGCTATGCTAAGTAAAGTCTTAAGAGGTTCCTTTGCTGATCAGGAGATCTGCCAAGGCTGCCCACATAGGTACGAATGTGAAGAATCTTTTACAACTCTAAACGTAGACATTAGAAATCACCAAAATCTTCTTGATTCTTTGGAACAATATGTCAAAGGAGATTTACTAGAAGGTGCAAATGCATATCATTGTGAAAAATGCAATAAAAAGGTTGATACTGTAAAGCGCTTGTTGATTAAAAAATTACCTCCTGTTCTTGCTATTCAACTAAAACGATTTGACTATGACTGGGAAAGAGAATGTGCAATCAAGTTCAATGATTATTTTGAAATTCCTCGAGAGCTAGACATGGAACCTTACACAGTTGCAGGTGTCGCAAAGCTGGAAGGAGATAATGTAAACCCAGAGAGTCAGTTGATACAACAGAGTGAGCAGTCTGAAAGTGAAACAGCAGGAAGCACAAAATACAGACTCGTGGGTGTGCTTGTACATAGTGGTCAGGCAAGTGGGGGGCATTATTATTCTTACATCATCCAAAGGAATGATGGAGATGGTGAGAGAAATCGCTGGTATAAATTTGATGATGGTGATGTAACAGAATGTAAAATGGATGATGATGAGGAAATGAAAAAACCCATGTTTTGGTGGAGAGTACCTGGGAGAAGTGTTTGATCACATGATGAAGCGTATGTCATACGGGCGCCAGAAAAGGTGGTGGAATGCTTATATACATTTTTATGAACAAATGGACACAATAGATCAAGATGATGTGTTGATAAGATACATATCAGAGCTTGCTGTCACCACCAGACCTCATCAGATTATTATGCCATCAGCCATTGAGAGAAGTGTGCGGAAACAGAATGTACGATTCATGCATAGCCGAATGCAGTACAGTTTGGAGTATTTTCAGTTTATGAAAAAACTGCTTACATGTAATGGCGTTTACTTAAACCCTCCTCCCGG